TCATTGAAATTTTCCTCTCTAGAAGTTTGGTTTGGGTCCTTCTTAAATGTTCTATGACTCTACGTAACTTTTTGTACACATGGGAACAGTTAAAATAACTGTTTTAATGTCCTTGTCTGATAATTCTAGCATCAGCGCCATGTCCTAGTCAGTTCTGATTGATGTGGTTTCTCTCTTCCTTATATTGCATATTTTCCCACTTCGTTGCATACCTGGTAATTTTTGATTGAAACAGCAAGACATTGTGATTTTATCTTGCTGGGTGCTAGGTATTTTTGTATTCTGACAAATATTCCAGAACTTCATTCTGGGATGCAGTTAAGTGGCTTGGGAACAGTTTAATCTTTTCAGGTCTTGCTGGTCTCATCCGTTAGGCGGGACTGGGGTGTGCTCAGTCTAGTGCTGTTGCCCCCCACTCCTGAGACGGAAGCCTTCGGTGTGTTACTCAGTGCCCAGTGGATCTGGACGTTTTCCTGTCTTCCTGTGAGAACGGGCTCTGTTTCGGCCGTGGGTTAGCACCGGGAGCCTCTCGCTCGAACCTTTCATCTGGGTGTTTCCCTGTCCTGGGGTGTCTCCCTCCTGTGAGTGCCGGCAGTGCTCAGTGAGTGCTCACAGCGGCTCCTCTGCAGCGCGCCTCTCTCCGTCCTACGCACCGTCACGGTCTCCCCACCCGGTCAGCGCCATCTGCCCACCTCCGCGTCCCAGAGTCCACCTGGGGTTCCTCTTCCTGCCTGGAAACTCTCTCAGGGTGGAAAACTGGGGAGCTGTCGGGTCACTGTGTTCATTTCCTATTTCCCAGGGATCACTGTCCATCATTGCTCGATGCCCCTGTCTCGCAAACCGCTGTTCTATATGGTCTGTCCGTGTTTTGTTTCTCAGTCGGGGATGAATGTGGTCTCCGTTACTCCACTGTGGCCTGCAGCATCAGTCTCTCATCTTGCTCATGTAAAGGAAGAACAATTCACTGAAATGAAAGTTAACTGAATCATAAAATCATTATGAATTTATAAACTAACTCTATAAATTAGTATCCCCAAGGCTTAGAGCATTTGAGACGAAAAAGAGCAAAGGGCTAGAACATACTCTGTAAGAATCATGTGTGAAATGTAACTACGGAGTTATAAAAGCAGCTCAAGATGTGGCGTCAGAGGCTTGTGTCTGAGTCTGGGTTACTGCATTGATCGTATGAATAAAGTCACTTGTTCTACCTTCTCAGTTTACTACCTCACCTATAAGTGGGACTAGTACTGCTGCCACCCCAGAGGGCTCGTGTGTGGACTAAAAGGGAGGATGAATGACTGACACAAGCATTTGTTGTGATCACTAAATAGGAAGAGGCTGGACGGGTTTTCATACAAAGAGACAGAAGAGACCTAAATATTGGATTGTTCACTGTGGGTCCTCAAGGTGGTGGAAAACATGCTTGTCGACAATCTGGACATGCCATAATTGTAGATCCTTAAAGATTTCCATGCCAGCTACGCTCAATTTAAAGCTGGTCAGAGCGAGAGAGTGAGAGAGAGCAGTGTCACTTCCAGCTACAGTGTAGGGGCTAAACTCCCGCTGAGAACCACTGTGAAAGCTAGAGAAAGGACTGAAACCGACAGTTTGGAGGCATTTAGATTTCCCAAGGCAGCCAAGGCTTCCTGGGCCAACATCTCCAGGAAGGAGGATGCCATTGAGGTGAGTAGGAATTCACGGCGGCTTCTCCCCCTCAGCCCCTGCTCCTTTGGGGGCACGTGGCACAGAGACCAAACCAGCGGTCAGGGCTGTGATCATCACACGTCCTGGGAGATAAAAATTGGAGTTCAGAGCTACCAAGGCAGCCAGGACAGGAAAGACCAAGCTCTCAGAGAAATGGGGACTGCAGAGGGGAGGCAAGCCCCCCAAGCACATCCTCCCCGAGGGCTTTTCTGGGTCCTGAGCTGTAGAGACACAGAGCCAAAGGCAGAAGCGGCTGCTTGAAGGTAAATGATGAGCAGGCGTCTTGGCAGTCCCTGGTGGTGCTAAGGAGCAGAAATCAGCAGTTCAGGATGTACCTAGCAAGGGGCCATGCAAACACCACAAGGTTCCCAGGTGAGATACTTGAAAGGCTACAGACAGAAACAAAAGTGCCAGAGACAGATCTGCTTGGATGGGCCCTAAATAGCCTGACAGAAGAACTCTGTCCTCCTTGGGAATGTGCCTCTCTCCAGAGCCTGCCTCTGTCTGTCTTCCTACATTTTTTAAAAAATACAATTTCAAATATTTAATTTAAAAGATTGATCAGCCATGTCAGGAAACATGACAAGTAAGTGAAAACCAAGACCATGCATGCACACACATACACACGCACACACACACACACACACACACACACTGAAAAAAATTCCCACAGCAGATTCAGAAATGAAAGTTAAATGGCACAGATTTTAAAATAACTAAACTTGATAATGTTTAAGAAAACAAAAGATAGAGAATTTCACCAGAGAAATGGAGTCTATTCAGAATAATCAAATAGCCCTAGAACTTAAAAACAAAATAAATGAAATTAAGCATTCAGTGCATGATTTTATTTGTAGACTAGACACAGGAGAAGAAATAGCATGTGAACTGGGAGATAAGTGAGAAGAAAACACGCAGCCTAAAGCACAGAGAGGCAAAAGGATGGAAAATACAGAAAAAAACATAAAACAAAACATAAAGACATGAGACATGAAAAAACAATTCTAACATAGGTATAATTGGAGTCCAGGAAGGGGTAGAGAAATGAATGAGGTGAAAGCAATACTGAAAACTATATTTACTGAGAATTTCCCCAAAAAGACTCAAGAAATCAAGCTGCAAATTTAAAAACAAAATTTATAAAACCTAAGCAGGATAAATAAAAAGAAAACTACCTATAAGCACTTAATAGTAAAACCTCAGAAAATCAAAGACAAAACCCTTGTCCATTTTGGGGGGAAGGATGGGTCACCAATGTCAGTGTTAATTTTTTCAAAGCTTAACAAACTTCTCTGGGTAGAAAAGCCCAGAGCTAATGCTCTATTTGTATAGACTGCACTGTAAGGCTTGGTAAACACTCAGTCTGTGCAGTAAATGTTTGTGCTGCTGTCCATTATCTGTAAATTCCAAGAGCAGATGCAGTCGTGCGATCTCTCACAATTGTGTGACTGCCCCTCCTTCCAGTATGACCCACAGTGAAGGTGCTCAAATAAGTGTTTGGTGAATTGCTTAACTAATTGGATGGTCTTCAAAGCTTGTTCCTCAATTCTTTCAATAGCTGGGGTAGAAAAACAAATGCACGTGGGATTTCAAACCATCCTCACAACCTCACTTCTGTTCCTGGTAATAAAATGATTTATCTGCATTTATGTTTACCTGTACTTACTTTCCATTTAAGATGTCTTTGCTGGTTACCAACTACCTGTCAATATAGTCTAGACATGTGGGAGAGTAAAAAAGAGAAATATATAGTCCAACCATTCCACTCCTAGGCATTTACCCCAAAGAAATAAAAGTATATGTCAGTACAAAACAGTGTCTGTGAATGGTTGTAGCAGCTTTATATGTAGCAGTTCCATCATGGGAGCAAACCATATGTCCGTCCACAGGTGCCTGGATAAACAAAATGTATCCATACAATGGAAAAGTACTCACCTTGTTGGAGTGACACATAGCTTTTTAATAATTCCATTTGTGAACTGATAGTGCGAATTTTGAAAAGAAATCAATTTTTTTAAACATCACATATTGCGTCCTGTGTGTGGCAGTCATTCGGGCGAGTGGTCAGTGGGCTCCTGTGGTGTGTGGATCAGATTCCTCCCTGGTCTGAGTAGCTGGGCTCTTACTGACACCTGCATTAATGTGAATATCTAGATCTAATGTGAAGATCTCTCCTTCAGAGGTCACATATGCTCTTGATAATTCCTTTCAGAGTTTTCTCAGCAAATGACATTTTTGTAGAGTTTGATTGTGGTGTTAAATTCTATTGTTCATTTTGATTTGAAGAGAAAAGAAGGTAGCCTTTATTCAGTATAATTAAAATCACATGTATTTCAAGCACAATCCCCTAGGCAATAATCCTGTGAGCTGGGGGCTTAAGACCCTCTTCAGGAACCGAGTAATGTGGACATTTTTTCCACTTTGTTACTCTTTATCAGTCCTCCCTAGTTTTAAAGCAGAAAGCAAAATGACCTACATTTCTAATAATTTTAGGTTATTGGCCATAGTAAATTTGTCTGGTTCATAATGGCTAGCTAAAGAAAAAGGAAAGAATAAAAAGCAAAGATTTTTTTAAATATCTAGAAGTAATGGAGACACTGGGCAGGAAGCAAGACAGAATTCCATCAGAGAAACGTGCCTGTGCTCGGGCGCTGGGCACGGGCGGGCTCGCGTCCCAGCTGGGCCTGTGAGGGCGGCCGCCACGCCTCAAGTACAGGTGTGCGCCCGGTAGTCGCCTGCCACGCAGCAGCCGAGGTAACAACTTGGCGGGGGGTGGGAACAAAGGGAGGCTGGGGACACAGCAGCTGCCTGGGGCCTGCACTGAGGGAGAGTGGGTCCTTCTGTGGGGGTCGCCTGCTGGTTTGCAGAGAAACCTGCCCTTCCTAAAGTGAGGAGTGGCCTAGGTGGTGAGTGTGGAGAGTACTTAGAGTGCATCGGCCTTCAGTTGGTGACGAGCCTTGGAGGACTAGCCTAGTGGCCCAGCGTGCGTCTCTCCTGCATGGCCACAGGGCTGCCAACGCCGCCCAGCTCATGGTAACGGGAAGACACTGTGTGTGGGGACTGAATTAGGTGTCTTCCCTTTCGGGAACAGTGATGGCCCAGGATAAGCTAGCACTTTGGGCCCTGGAGCCGCCTGCTGCAGCCTATTATGGACAATGTCATGTTCAGTGTGTCCACGGAGCACAGAAAGGCTCAGAAATCAGCACCCTTCCCTGTAGAACACGCGGAAGAGGTCGCGATTGTGACCCCTGGGTCCTGCAGCTAAAGTTTCTCTGCTTTCTGTTTTCTCGCTATAGAACCACGAGGCTGCCCCGAGACTCTCAGCCACGCGGTGGGGATGTCTGAGAGCCCCGTCGGACCCAAGCCCGCGATGCTCCGGGCCGACGCGCCTGCGGCGCCTTCCTTCCCACAGGCCTTTGCATCTTCCTGCACAATTTCTAGCAACGGCCCCGGCCAGAGGAGAGAGAGGTAAGAAGATGCGTCTTTAAACTTGGCACGAGGCCCCCTTAGTGACCCAGAATGCTGAGCTGAGGAGGAAAGAAGGGTTCAAGGGGTCAGCCAGGCCTTTCTCTCCAGCGGTGCTCAGCCAGGCCCGGGGGGGATTGGCCTGGCATCGGGCGAGGCAGGAGCCCGGCTGTGTGCGGGACAGTGCTGCCCACGGGGACATGTGTAGGTGCAGGTGTGTGGGAAATATAGGCAAACACAGGACATAGAGGAAAATTGGCCTTATAGAGATTATAAAAGTGGACAGAAAGGAAGGGAGAGTGAGGGGCAGGCTATGGAGAGTGAGGGGCAGGCTACGGACAGAGAATGACGTCCTGCTTCTGCTTTACGAAGACGCTGCCCCCGAGGAAATCCATTTGTGGGACAGCTCCTCTTGCCCAGAGTAGGACTAAGTCTCCTGTGCTATGCTGTGTGGGCACATAACTCTCGATTCAACTTCCTTAATTCTACCTCCTTTCTCCTTAAAAGGGGGGTTCTCACCTAAGGACGTGGCATGGCGCACAGACTATGTACCTGACAAGTGCTTGCTCATGGAATGTGTGCACATGTGGGGTTCTTCCCACTGTCACTCCGTATTCCTGAACATGTGGGCATCCCTTAATCGGCCGATTCACCCGCATTTACTGAGAGCTGACCGTATGTCAGGCGCAGGTGCAGGAGCAGGAGGCAGGGCAGGCTCTGGGGGGAGCAGACAGCCCCGCTGCATGGGGCGGAGCTGCTTGGCGTCCGTGCCGGCGCCTGGGACCAGAGGCAAAGGCAGGCCAGTCCCCAGTGTGCACCGTTCGCGGCCACGGGCGCTGGACAGGGGCTGGCTGGGAAAAGGCTTCAAAGTTGGGCCTGGTCTTGCAGGAAGAAGGGGACACCATCAGGTGAAGGTCAAGGAAGGGCAGAGTCTGGGGGCTTGGAGAGGCCTGTCTGGGAGTAGCTTCCTCAGTGCCCCAGAGGGGGGTGGAGCATCGGGTATGAAGTGGGGCAGGAAAGGTGGGCAGCATGAGCTCAGCGTGGGCCTGAATTCGCATATTGTGGAACATGCCTCCTGTGCTGCACAGCAAGCCTCAGCGCCCACCTCTCCGGCTCTGATGCCCCATGTAGGGGTGGCGGCTACTGATGTTGGGGTGTCCCGTGCCTTACGTGCCCTCCCGGTCTGCTTGCCTTCTGAACAGCCCATCTTCTGCAGAACGCCAGTGGGTGGAGAGCAGCCCCAAAGCCACCGTCTCCCTGCTGGGGAGCAGCCGGCCCACAGGAAGTCCCCTCGGTGCTGAGTTCTCTGGCCCCGGCAAGGACTCCCCAGTGCTGTCCTGCTTCCCGCGGTCGGAGCTCCAGGCCTCTTTCCGTGGCCATGACCTGTCCCTGGCAGAGCTGCCGCCGGACACTCTGCCCCCCACGAGCAGCCAGGCCTTCCTGGGCTTTGTCCCCACCCCTGTGGGCAGTGGCCTTGCCCCCGAGGAGGACCTGGGGGCCTTGCTGGCCAATTCCCACGGCGCATCACCGGCCCCCGGCGGCCCGCTGACAGCGGCAGGGACTGCCGACGGTGGCTTCCTGTCCCACAGCTTTCTCACGGTGGCTCCCGGACATGGCAGCCACCACAGTCCAGGCCTGCAGGGCCAGGGAGTGACCCTGCCGGGGCAGCCGCCCCTCCCTGAGAAGAAGCGGGCCTCCGAAGGGGACCGTTCTCTGGGCTCCGTCTCCCCCTCCTCCAGCGGCTTTTCCAGCCCCCACAGCGGGAGCACCATCAGCATCCCCTTCCCTAACGTCCTTCCCGACTTCTCCAAGGCCTCAGAAACGGCCTCGCCGTCGCCAGGTAGGTGTGTTTCCCTCGGACAGAAGGCCGCTCTGTGCGGCCCTCAGCAGAGGCAGGGGTGGGATTTGCGGCTGGAGCCAGCGCCGGGCACTTCCCCACTGGGTGGGCACCGTGAGAGAGAGATCAGGGCCCTCGGGGGCTTTTCTTCTTTGCTGGCCCAAAGCCAGACACTTCCCTGCTTCCCAGCTACTCTTCTTGGCTTCTGCGCTTAGCCACTTCCAATTCGTTCCACTTGTAGAAAGTGCAGACACTTCCGGTGGTTTTATTTTCCCTTTCACTTGGGACCATCGCTCTTGAAAATAGCTCCCTTTTTCAAATTAAATGAATTAATCTGAAACGTAATTATGAAATATTTTAAGTGTATAGGAAGTAATAGGACACACGCTGATTAGACGACACAAGCTTTGCTGTTTGCTTCCCACCTTCCTAACTGTGTGTTTTTTAAACATGCTGCAAAGTCCTAATCAGAGCATCCTGTCGTTCTGTTCTGTTTTATGAAACAGTTGCTGCTTCTTCCAAGCTCATCATTTTGAAAGTAGGGTTCCTTCCCCTTAGAACATCCCCACCCTCGCTCACCCTCTGTGTGGAATTTGGACTCCTAGGATCGTTGCAGATGAGAGGTGGCAAAGAAAAGCACCACCCTCCACTGCCACTGTTTTTAAATTTTGCTTTACAGATAGTCCAGGTGATAAACTTGTGATTGTGAAGTTTGTTCAAGACACTTCCAAGTTCTGGTACAAGGCGGATATTTCAAGAGAACAAGGTACGTGTGGAGGGTGAGGGCCTCATGAAGCGTCTGTCCCACTGAGTGACAGACGGGCCCTGCAGTGCGGACATCAGAGACCCACGCCTTGGTGTGGACGGGGTTAGAGCAAGGCCCCCGCCTTACTACATGCCTCCAGGGGAAGCGCTGTGTCCTCTACATTTTTAGCGGAAAGCTTGGCTGTGGTGAGGAATGGGCACCAGCCATGCATGTGGGGTGTGACATCTGGCTGCTGCCACCTGCCAGCGATGCCAGCCCACAGCTGCTGACCGTGAGGAGGAGACACGCTCTCCTGGCATCCCCAGAGAGGCCCTGACTGTGGAGGATGAGGTCTAGAGCGAGGGAGGTACGGCTTGCCCTGTGAAGTCAGGGGCCCCGTGCGTTGGTGAACACCTGCGTTGGTCCAAGTCTGGAAGAGAAGCACTTGATCGTGAGCCCTAGCTGTAGAGGTGACAGGGTGACTCACACACAGACCAGGCAGGACATCTCTCCACTTGGTACAGCCTTAAGGCAGTCTTAAAACATTTGAAACCATTAACATTTTGTAGCAACCGAGGGGGGCATCACTTTTTACTAGAATAAGAAGAGAAGAGAAGTGGGAGAGTGGAAGGGTGGCAGAAGTTGAGTCCCCGAGGGGTGCTGCTTTCCACACACACGACACTGCCCCCCGCGGTGGAGCCGGGATGCAGTGGAGTGCGTCTTCCCCTGGACGCCTGGCCTCCCTGGGACGGGCCTCAGAGGGTTGGTGCGTGAGTGGCAGGGAGGGCAGGGCCGGCGGCAAAGTCAGGCTTCCTAGGAAGTGGGCGAGTCCCAGCAGCTGCCTGGTGCGTGTGGGTGGTGAGAAGTAGCGAGCTGCCCATGGTGGTCAGGACACCTCCTTGTCCCAACTTCAAGAGAAAATCATCCAGTTCTCTCCTTGTGACGATGTCTTAGATCTGCCTCGACATGAACAGTCAAGTGGCTAAAACATAGCCCCTTCAGACCTCATTGAAATTCCATAGCGTAGATAATAGAAATGGTAAGAATGTGCATTTCTGCCCATGAGCTCAAAGAAGCTATTGTCATTTTAAATGGAAGAGAGAAAAAAAAAGAAGCCCATGGCCTTGGAAGACTTTAATTTGCCTGAATCGGCCTTTGTGAAGAGCTGCTCACACATCCAAGGGCTCCACTGTGGCCGGACGCTGTGTTCTTGCTGCCACCATCCCAACCCTACTCCTGTCCCAAGGATCCCGATGACTATGGCCTCCAGAGCCTGGGCACCCCTCCCCAGCTGGCCAGACCGGGAGGTGCTTATGGAACATCATGTTCTAGAAGATTCTGCACAGACCCTCCTACTGTGTTGGCACTGTCTCTAGACCAGTGATGTGTGGGGCTGGGCGGCCCCTTCTCCCACGGTGCGGTGTCCTTGTAGCGGAGGGGCTCCAGGAGCGACAGACCTGGCTGGGGCACCTGTTGGGTCCTGCGGCAGGGCAGGGGTGGTGGAGCCTGCCTCGCGGAGAGGCCCTGTGGGAAGCAGCCGCCCTTGCAGCACCCGGCGGGTGCAGTGAGGGGGGCTCTGCTCCCACCTGCTGGCCCTCGGCACACATCTTTTAAAAGGTTCCTTTGGGCGACCCCATCTCAGAATGGCTAATATGTACGTTGGATGTTGATTTTCCCACCTGAGCCCTAAAAATGTCACTTCCTCTGTTTTCTGGATATTTTCTGTGAAGACACCTAGGCTGACCCCCATCCCACTGGGGGTGCCCACTTCTCTAGGTGGCAGGTGGCTGCCCGTGGATTTTGTTTGTTTTTATTTTAACTGTCCAATGTGCCTTTTTCTGGAAAAGCTACAAAGACATTTCAGGGCGATGCAGGAGAAAAAAGCCACACAGCCCGATAACGTCTTTGGGAGTGTGATTTGTCACATCTTCAGTTCCTTGGAATGTCCTCAGGGAACAGAGAAGTACCTTGGGAGGAAAAGGGGACCCCAGAGTGAAACAGAGACCGGTGCTGCTGCTCCAGTTGTGCTTTCTCAGGTGTCCAGGGAGGGCAGGAGTTGGGAAGAGAAGGGAATGTGACCCGCCGCCCCGACCCGGTCCCGTCTTCAGCCGGGGAGTGTCAACGCCGAGCAGAGCGTGCGGCTGCTGTGTGCAGTGCACAAACACTCGGTTTTGCAGCTTCAGCACAGAGAGCTCCTCAGCGCCCACTGCGTCAGGCCCTTGCTCAGTGGTGGCCACATGGAGAAGGGGTCTGTAGCCCTGTAGCTTTGCTCATCTGGCCACTTCTGCTACGGAGCCACGGACAGAGTGCCACCTGTGGGACACAGTTTTGCCACCCCCTAGGGTGAATCTTAGAATGTGTGTTAAATATTCTGTATCTTTTTGTGTAGTTACAAACTGCCATTATTCTGTTGAAAGAGTCCATACTCTAAAATCCTTAAGAAAAGTGCCAGGCTGGAAGACAGTCCCCAGTAGTGGCAACCACAGGGTACTCTGTGACAGCCTCCCTCCCACGTCCTAGTCCACCACTGAGGGTGTATTTGGATCTCGTCCTCTTTCCCACGCTGCGTGAGCCTTGGTTTCCTGGGCTGTTAGGAAGGGGCCATCATTTGCACATCACAGTGCTGTGGGACTAACAGAAATCACATGTTATATCCACGGGAGGAGCCAGGATAGTGCCTGACACCTCCATGAGCTAAGGAGAAGGGTGTCCTTGTCCCCTTTGCCTCCTCACAGTCAGGTCCACCCAGGAAAAACACACGACGCCACAGAGACTTCCCAAGGTCTGGACTTGTTCCTCCAGCTGAGCAGGGGGACCCTGGCTAGCTCCCCACTGACACAGTTTGCAAAAGGAATAGGGGGAGAGGACCCATCCCAAGGCCGGAGTGGACACAGACCTTTGTCCGCCCAGCAGATGCTCACGTCTTTTCCTCCCTTCCTCTAGCCATTGCCATGTTAAAGGACAAGGAGCCGGGATCGTTCATCGTTCGGGACAGTCACTCCTTCCGAGGGGCCTACGGACTGGCCATGAAGGTGGCCACGCCGCCCCCTTCTGTCCTGCAGCTGAACAAGAAAGGTAGGCGCCCTGCAGTCGACCTGCTCAGCGCCCCATGCAGAGCTCTGTTGGTTTATCATTAAGCTGGTACAGTGGATGGCTCATCACCGTACTCACAGCTTTCTTCTTAGCACATGTATTTTCAGGTGTATTTTATTAAGTGTTCTCCTTGTTCAAGAAAGAACGTTATTTTTTTTGTGTGTGTAGATTTTATTTTCTATTGTTTTGAATAAGTAACTGATTCCAGTGTTCAAAAATCAGAACAAGAGAACAAGGCATCCACCAAAGGGCATCTTGCTTCCATTTTAGCTGCACTGGCTTGACAGGCCCCTTCCCTCCCTTGGGCGCGTTACATCCGTGATACCCCCTCCTGTGTCTGTCACTGATTGTCTATCCCAATGCAGGCAACGATGCCGCTGCCTGTTTTCTCACTTGAAAGGCAGCACACTGTTAACACACACGCGATTCTTGTATCCATCCCCAGTAGACTGTTTTTAGATTGATTAAAAGTGCTGTAGTGTAAACCCAGGATCATTCAGTTATCACTTCTCAAGGTAGAGACTGTACTTCCTGACTCCTGTGCAGTGAGGCCGCAGGGAGCCCTCCTGTCGGGTCCCAGCACGAGTGACGACACCTGCCGTCCTCCGGTGGGGACCGCAGCTCCCTGACTCCTTGCCCCAACACACTCCCCACAGTCAACGGATTGTAGCCAAGTCACATGCAGATTCCCAATAATACTCTACGTACTCTTTTCCCGCTTTTTGCCGTGCAGCATAACCACACACAGAAAAGTCTGCCACGCCTCCGCGCACAGTGGAGCACGATTATAAACAAGCGTGTGTGTAACTGCAGCTCAGGACAGGCAGCCCTGCCAGGAAGCCCCTGCACGCCCTCCGTGCTGTGTTGCCATCCATCACCACTATCCCTTTTGGTCTCCCAGTGGTCCCAGATTCGTCTCCCTGATGCTCTCTGGGTGGCCTCTGCGTTCTTTTGAAACATCCTCGTCAGTCAGTGCACAGCTCTAGCTTCTGAAACGGCAGTTCTGTTTCCGGCTTCTTTCCTTCCCTGCCCGGCCCTTTCTCTCCAGATCTCTGGTGCTGCAGGCTGGAGAATGGCGTCTAGAAACCAAGATCAGCTCTCTAGGTGTGCTCCCTGCTGTGGAGTAGCATTGCTTCTCTCCGATGAACAGAGCTAGGCAGCATGTCATTTTTAAGACTTCACGAGCTCATGCTGATACCTACGGTTCAAACCCAGCAGCACCAGGTTCTTTCTTGCCTTTCCCAGCCCACGTCTGTGCATCCCTTCTCTCACGCTGCAGACTATGGTCCCAACAAGATCAGTATATTTGCTTCCTTTCTCTATTTCCCAATATGCCCAAAGTAGTTTGAATCACTCTATTAATACCACTGCAGACAGTAAGTAGTAAACCTACTAAGTGAAATGTAAAGTTAACATTTGTATATTAACCATCAAAATGTGAATCTCTAAACATTATACTTTTGTCTATTTTTTAACTTGAAATAAGGAAAGTAATAGAGTATGTATTCTTTTGTGTCTTGCTTTTGCTCAACCTTATAAGGTTCATTCATCATGTTTCTAAGATTGCTTGTAGCTCTTGTTCTCTTTCCGTCTTACACTGCGGTCCAGTCGTCTGTTCTGTCGTTGGTGGATGCTTGCTTTTTGGTTTATGCTTTTTGTTTCTTTTTTCTTACCCTGCCCTTTCTGGCCCTGTATATACTTAACTTGGGCTCAGGAATGAGAGATGGCAGCTGTTGGGTTTTGCTCAGCTTCTTGGTGTCTGTCCATTTAAAGTTTTGAAGCAAAGACAACAAAATTTCTGTGCACATTATCTCCTTGGAGATACAGGTGGTGGTGTGTGACTAGTCTTACCTCCAGCAATGCATCCTGCCTCTCAGGAAGGCTTTAGACTTGATGCTAAGATAAAGGTAACAAAATAGAGGATATTAGAATAGCAGACTTCAGGAAACCCAGAGCTGTTGGTGTCCGATGGGTGAAATTTTATCTGGCTGTTGTGTCTTCCTGCTCTTGGATTTGACATTTGGATTTTGCAGTCCAAGGATAGATTTGAGAGAAGAGTTTACCAACTAGTAAGGAGCCCGAGAGTCACCATACCACCTCCAGCAACCTGGAGAGGGACATTCATGGACATTCATGACATTGTTCTCCAGGGAATCTCAGCCAGAGGATTTCCCCCTGAGCCACTTCTCACAGGTGGCGTCCAGACCGGCACTTGATGTCCCAGCCTTTCATAGAATCGGATCATCTTTTCCTTCTGCAAGCTTTACTGCCCTTGCGAAATGCTGACACTATTATTGACATTTGTCACTGTTTATAAACATCCTTTTGTAGCTTACTGGGGCCACATGCTGAGGACCAACCCAACTCCAGCAGGTTCTGCTTCCAGGAGGTTTCCAGTGTCAGAATTCAGGCAGACATGCTCCCATGGAGGGTGATAAAGGAGGCCGCAGGGGGACAGAAATGCAGCCCATTGTGAATGCCCGTTGGATTCATTAGCATAGGGCAGTGACTTTGTTTTCTTCTTCTTGTGAATCTGTACGTTGCCGCCATTGGACAGTTTTGCCTTGCAGTGGCTTTTTAAGATGCACTCTCTGTGGATTCGTGGGTTGACTTGAGCACAGAGGTGCTGTTACTAGCAGTGTGGCAGAATGCTGTCCCCATGCTGCTGGCACTTGCTTCTGCAGGAGTTTATGTACCTAGGCTCCTGGCTAAACCTACGAGGAGACTGACCTCTTTCCAGATCTTTTTAGCAGTTCCTTACAAGGTATCGTTTCTCACCTCTTCTCTTTAAGAGGAGACAGAGCTGGAGTCTGGGGTCCTCTCCCTAAGCTGCAAGCTCATTCCCTTCCCTGGGGATTCTTGCAGAATGTTTGGGGGTCTCTCCCAAGGACCCCTCCATCCCTGGCATCGTCACTGCCAGGGTTCCCACTGTCCGTCTGGTTTGTGCCACCCAGCTGTCCTGTAGCCCACCTGCCACTCCTAGGATGGCTCTTGACAGCCCCCAAGTGCGGTGGCTAGACTCCTGCCCGAGGATAGTTCCTGACTTCAACAGCTGTTCTCTCTCTCTCAAATCCTTCCATGCTCTCATTTAAAAAAAAATATCTTCTTTAATTTCTTACCACAGGTGGAGATTTGGCCAATGAACTTGTTCGGCACTTTTTGATCGAGTGTACCCCGAAGGGAGTGAGGTTGAAAGGGTGCTCAAACGAGCCCTACTTTGGTGAGTTGCTTGAGAGGTTGCTGTCGGCGTGCTGAATGCAGGGGGTCTGGGGCTCCCTCTGCTCGCCTACCTGGGATTTGGGACCGTCACTCCCATGGTGGCTCACTGGCATTTCAGTTCCCAGTTCTGAGATCCCTCTTGTCTGAATTATTATCTTCAGGATAAACTGCATATGAAATTGTTCTTAAAAGCTTTGTCAAGATCAAACAAATGAAGAGCACTGTGCCAGGGCTAGAAATCATAGACATCAACGAGACCTCATCCTGGTTGGCAGGAAGAAGGTCCTGACAGGGTTAAACCCCCGTGTGACCCCATCCCACGGGCACAGGGAGGGGCCCAGAGCTCCCAGGAGAGCCCCCTTCCCACCCTGTGAAATGCAGAGCCTTCCCTACCTTTCAGGCTTGTTGCAAAGATGAGTGGAGCCAGCCACACGAAGCACAGTACGAACTTAAGACATCCTCATTGTCACAGCCCTTTTAGAAGCATTGTGCAAGGTGATACATGTGGTAAAAGTTAGAGTTATCTTTATCATAGCCCTCCTAATGTCGAATAAAGCAAACGGTACGGCTTATTCTTTATAATTTGGTAATGATGTGTCTATGCTAAGGATCACCTGCAGTTTCCCTTATTTACCTCTTAACAGTCTTGTTGAACTTAGAAGTTTTGCACCAAGTCCCACAGTACTCTAGGATGTTAGCTGCTAAAACTGTAAGGGCTCAGACTTCGTAGCAGTTTCATTTCAGCCGATAAACTGGCTGAGCGCGAAACACAGAGGGCAGTTGTGACTCTGTGCTGTTTGTCCTTTCCGCAGGGAGCCTGACGGCTTTGGTGTGTCAACACTCCATCACGCCCTTGGCCTTGCCCTGCAAACTGCTCATCCCGGAGAGAGGTACGGGGTCGGGTCCTCAGTGCTGGTCTGGCTCTGTACAGGGCCACCTGCAGTCGCTGAGGCACACCAGTTTTGGGGATTCGTGAAGATTCATTGAGAAAAATCAGACTGGTAGTTTTTTCCTAACATGTGCTTTTTGAGTAAACCCAAGAGAGGGCTGGAGATCACGCAAGTAAAGGAGAGAAGAGGAGACCCACTGCACCTGGCAGCTTCAGGATACCTTGGATTTTGATGAAAGGTTTCCATAGAGCAAACCTTCTATAGCTTAAAAATATAAAACACTCAGACTAAGAGATCTGAGGGTCATTTCCATTTAATGTTTATGATTCTAAAACATGGGCAAAATATTGATGCTGTTAAATTAGGTGGTGGGCGGACTTTTATGTTTGTTTGAAAATATCCATCAAAAAACATTTTAAAAAGTAGCACCCACAGCATATCGAGGTGGTTTGATGTATGCCCCAGCTTTCCTAAGCAGTCTCAATCTCACGTAAGGATGATTTAATTTAAAATAGAGGTAAATCTGATTTACCTCTTAAAATTTAATTATTCATGTAGAGTAATTCAGAGATCAGAAAATATTTTGTTGAACCGTGTCATCTCTATTTTTGTTCAGAATGTGATCATAATTTCTAGGGAATGGATTGTTACCCCAAGAAAAACTCTCAACTCTGCAAAACCAGTGCATGTCACTGTCTAGGAATTCTGTCATCAGATCGTCTGACTTTTTCCTGAGGACTCTTTGTTGGGAGCTGGACTCATTTCCGTGTGTTCTTGCCCCTTCCTACAGATCCAATGGAGGAAATAGCAGAAAATTCTCCCCAGACTGCAGCCAATTCCGCAGCTGAGCTTTTGAAGCAGGGGGCAGGTGAGTAAATGCGGCTTCATTTTCTCATCTCCTGGTTACTGGGGAGAAAAAGGGTTCAGTGACACAACTTCCTTTTGCACTTTTGTTATGCAGGTTTCCTTTCTTTGTGAGCTTCCAAGGAAGTTTCCCTTTATAGAAGCTTACACAGAGCTGGGTGGAGCACTGCTGTGGGGAGCTAGACCAGGGCTGCTCGGGCTGGGAATATTGGTCCGACTCAAACAAGACCAAATTCAGTGGAATAAATGTCAAGTCCTGGATTTAGTTTGGGGAAAATGTAGTAAGACAGGATGTGGGTGACCTGCCTCGCCAGCTGTAGATGTAAAAATGTTCGGGAGATGTGACTCAACAAGTCACTTGACATGAGTCAGTGCTTTGACCCACATGGAAACAGACACCACCCAAGAACCAGCTCTCCAGAAACCGGGTCACTTTAAAAAATTTTTTTTACTAATAGATTTTTTTTTTTTAGAGCAGTTACATATTTGTAGCAAAATTGAGAGGAAGATACAGAGATATGCCATACCCTACTCTCAGCATCCTCCTGCAAAGTGATTCATTTGTTATAATTGATGAACCTGCATTGACACGTCATGATTACCCAAGAGTCCACGGTTTGTTTACATTAGGCATCACTCTTGGTGTTGTACATTCTATGGGTTTGGACAATGCACGATGACACGTATCCACCATTACAGCATCACCGTGAATAGTTACACTGCCCTAAAAATCCTCTGTGCCCCATCTGTGCATTCTTCCCCTCCCCCAATCCCAGACAACCAGGGACCTTTTTACTTTCTCCATATTTGTGCTTTTTCCATATAGTTCAAACCATACAGGATATAGCCTTGTTAGGTTGGCTTCATTTGCTTAGTAACATGCATTTAAGTTTCCTCCATGTGTTTGCATGACTTAATTGCTCATTTGGTTTTAGCATTGAATAATATTTCATTGTCTGGATGTACCACAGTTTATTAATCCATTCATCTGCTGAAGGACATCTTCAGATGTTTTGACAATCGTGAATAAAGAACATAAACATCTATGTGCAGGTTTTTGTGCAGATATGTTTTCAGCTCCTTTGGGTAGATACCAAGGAGTGCAGTTGCTGGATTGTATGATAAGAGTATGTTTAGTTTTACAAGAAACTGACAAACTGTCTTCCAAAGCAGTTGTACCATTTTACATTCCCACCAGGAGTGCCCTTACCCTACTTCACTGGAATTTGGTATCTCACTGTTGTTTTAATTTGCATTGCTCTGATGACTTGTGATGTGGAGCATCTTTTCATATGTTTATATACCACCTGTACATCTTCTTTGATGAGATGTCTAGTGAAGTCTTTGGCCAAATTTTAAATTTCGTCTTTGTTTTCTTATTGAGTTTTAAGAGTTTTTTTGTATATTTTTAAAAATAGTTCTTTATGTGATATGTCTTGAAAATATTTTCTTTTTTCCGTGGCTTCTCTTTTTATTCTCTTATAGAAAAGAAATTTTTAATTTTAATGAAATCTAGCCTATCAATTCTTTCTTTCATGGATTATGCCTTTGATGTCATATCTCAGAAGTCATCATCAAATCCAAATCCATCTTGATTTTCTCCTATGTTATAGACTCATTTTCTTGCATGCCGATGTCTAGTATTCCTGCATTATTTGTTGAAAAGACTATGTTTTCTCCATTGTGTTGCCTTTGCTCCTTTGTCAAAGATCAGTTAATTACATTTATGTGGGTCTACTTCTGGGTTCTCCATTGTGTTCTATTTATGTATTTCACCGATACTACACTGTCTTGGTTACTGCAGCTTTATAGTAATTCTTTTTTTTTTTTATTTCAGCATATTATAGGGGTACAGATATTAAGGTTTCAATAAATGTCCCTTTCCCCCCTTCCCCCCACAAGTCTGAGTCTCCAGCATGACCATCCCCCAGATGGTGCACATCTCACTCACTATGTATGTATATACCCGCCCCCCTCCCCCCTACCCAATACCCTATTACTGTAGTACCTGTGACCACTTAGGTGCTGTTCAGTTAATACCAATTTGCTGGTGAGTATATGTGGTGCTTGTTTTTCCATTCTTGGGAAACTTCACTTAATAGTATGGGTTCCAGCTCTAACCAGGAAAATATAAGATGTGCTATGTCACCATTGTTTCTTAGAGCTGAATAGTACTCCATGGTATTCATATACCACATTTTATAATCCATCTTTGGATTGATGGGCACTTGGGCTGTTTCCACAGCCTTGCAATTATGAATTGTGCTGCTATAAACATTCGAGTGCAGGTGTCTTTTTGGTAGAGTGTCATTGGATCTTTTGGGTAGATGCCCAGTAATGGGATTGCTGGATCAAATGGTAGATTCACTTGTATTGAACTAGTTTGCAGTCCCACCAGCAGTGTAGGAGTGTTCCTCTCTCTCCGCATCCATGCCAGCATTTATCGTTTGGAGACTTTTTGATAAAGGCCATTCTCACTGGAGTTAAGTAATATCTCATTGTGGTTTTGATTTGCATTTCTCTGATGATTAGAGATGTTGAGCATTTTTTCATATGTTTGTTGCCATTCTTCTGTCTTCTTTAGAAAAATTTCTGTTCAAGTCCTTTGCCCACTTTTTAATGGGTTATTTGATTTTCTTCCTAATTTTCGTGAGTTCTAAGTATATTCTAGTTATCAGTCCCTTATCGGATGCATAGGATGCAAAAATTTTCTCCCATTCTATAGGTTGTCTGTTTACTTTCATGACTATTTCTTGGCTGTGCAGAAGCTTTGTAGTTTGATCATGTCCCATTTATTTATTTGTTGCTACTGTGATTGCCTTTGGGACTTCTTCATAACTCTTTGCCTAGGCCGATGTCTAGGAGGGTGTTTCCAACTTTTTCCTCTAGAATTCTAATAGTTTCATACCGTAGGTTTAAGTCTGTTATCCAGCGTGAGTTGATTTTTGTGAGAGGTGAAAGGTGTGGGTCCTGCTTTAGCCTTCTACAGGTGGCTATCCAGTTTTCCCAGCACCATTTATTGAAAAGGATTCTTTCCCAGCTTATGTTTTTGTCTGCTTTGTCAAAGATTAGATGGCTATATGAGGATGGTTTTATATCAGGATTCTCACATCTGTTCCACTGGTCCATATTCCTATTTTGTGGCCAATACCATATTGATTTAATTACTACAGCTTTGTAGTATAGTTTGATATCTGGCTTATTAATGCCTCCATTTTGTTTTGTTGCCTAGAATTGCTTTTGATATTCGGGTCTTCTTTGGTTCCACATGAAGGATAAAATTATTTTCTATATCTGTGAAGAATGCTGATGGGATTTTAAGTAGGTATGCATTGAATCTGTAGATCAGTTTGGGTAGTATAGACATTTTGATGATGTTGAGTCTGCCGATCCACGAGCATGGTATGGATTTCATCTGTTTACATCCTCTGCTATTCCTTCCTCAGTGTTTCATAGTTCTCCCTGTAGAGGTCTTTACCTCCTTGGTTAAGTATATTCCTAGGTACTTTAATTTCTTGTTGCTATTGTGAAGGAATGAGTCTTTGATTTGGTTCTCAATTAGATTGTTGTTGGCGTATATGAATGCCTCTGATTTCTGTGTATTGATTTTGTATCCTGAGACTTTACTAAATTCATTGATCAGGTCCAGGAGTTTCTTGGTTGAATCTTTGGGGTTTTCTAGATATAATATCATATCATCAGCAAACAGTGAAAGTTTGATCTCTTCTGGCCTATTTGGATACCTTTAATTCCATTTCCTGTCTGATTGCTGTAGCCAAGACTTCAGCACTATGTTGAACAAGAAGTAGAGATAGTGGGCAGCTTGTCTGGTTCCAGTTCTAAGTGGAATGATTTCAATCTTTCCCCATTCAGTATGATGTTGGCTATGGGTCTGTCATATATGGCTTGTATCATTTTTAGGTATGTCCCTTCTATGCCTATTTTCTTAAGTGTTCGTATCATGAAAGGGTGTTGAATTTTGTCAAAAGCTTTTTCTGCATCTATTGAAAGAATCATGTGGTCTTTGTTTTTGCTTCTGTTTATGTGGTGAATTGCATTTATAGATTTACGTATGTTGAACCATCC